TCCCTGCGGGGGTCCTGGGGCAGAGTCGAGTGGCCAGGAGGCTGAAGGACCCCCCCACCACCACCTGGTGAACGACGCAGAGAAGGCGGGAACTCATCACCGACGTTGGCGCGTAAATGTCTCGTGTGGGGTCGCGCTTAAGCGCCGTCGCCTCCGATGTGGCGTGCCGCGCCCATGGCCCGCGTAAGGCGCCTCGTAAGTTCGCTGTGTCCTCTCGCGTCAGCTTCTTTTCATCGCTCAGGTGGTGCTTTTCGGTGTGGCGCCCCCCCCCGTTTCCCGGCAAAGACTTGACATGGAGGCATGGCTGGATGGGGCAAGAGCTAATCATAAAAAGGCAGCCCACGAATCACCCCCGCAGTTGCGCAAACTATACACATACAAGTCAAACATGAACCAACCCACCACCATAGCATTCAAGCAGCAGTCTCGCAGCCTTGCGCGAGTCGCGCGGAGCCTTCCCTCTGCATCCCCTTGCGTTTGGGAGCGGCCACCGTGTTTGTACAGCACACGTTCGGCTCGGCATCGGTAAAAGGTAGCCAAATTTGTTCCGCTTCTCCGTGCAATCAGTTGTCCGCGGAGGGCTGCTGCAGTGGGGCAGCAACGAGACTGACCCAGCGGGGGCGGCACGACAGAGGAACGGTGGCGGGGTAGGGCCGACGCGGAATGTATCAAGGCTGGGGCAGCATCGGCGGCGCGCGACCGGGGGGCAGGGCGTAGATGTCCCGATCTCCGACGTGGCTTGTTCAATCTGGACGTTTTCCCTGGACTTCGGCCTCTGGGTCGGCTGCTGGGCCCGGGGGTCGTCAGCAAGGATCCGGGTCAAAAAAACTACCTTTGCGGAATGAGGGCACGACCTTTTCGGGAGCCTCTCCAGAAGTCCCCCCCCCCCGTCACCTCACCTTGGAAGGCGCGGGGCGGCGTACGATCACGGCAGATCCGTGACAAAAAGTACCTTTATCGGGGGCTTCTAGAAGCCCCCCCCCGTCACCTCTCCTTGGAAGGCGCGGGGCGTACGATCACGGCATGCGGCCGTGCATTCCAGCACGGGGGTGAGGGCACGGCCAGCGGCGAGCAACAGCGCAGGCCCCCAGCGGTGCACAACAGCGCAGGCCTCTCAGTCTGGGTCGGAGCGGTTGGGGTCGAGGCATCGCGCCGCATCGCCGGTGCATCGGCGATGCGGCTCGATGTGGGGCCCGACTTGCTTCACGCCGACGGCGGCGATGCATCGCCGACGTTGCCGATGTATCGCCGATGCATAGCCGACGCAGCGACGATTCGGCGCAATCGTCCGATACCTTTTACTCCGACCCCATACGGGAGGCCTCTAAACATGGGGGGGGGACACAGGTCAGGAGGGCAGCCTCCTCCTTGAGAGGGGCCGGCTGGTCCTCCCATCTCCGCGGTCGCACGGGCCCAGGCCTGGTCTGCTCCGAGCGGCGCGCCGGCCTGGAGGCCTGCAACCCCCACTTCCCTCCCCTTTGTCGGCTACACGTAATAGTGATCTTTGGCTGGAGTGGCCTTTGGTGCGGGCCCAGTGGGGCCCCCCGATGGCTGAGTGCGATGCGATAGCAGCGGCTTGCGCGTCTGGTGGTGCCCCTGAAGAGTCCCCCTTGGACCGCGCCGCAAAAGGGCACTCTTGCCTAGGGCCACTCTTGTGTGTAGCCGACTTTGGGATTCCCGGATAGACAGTTTCTGTTCATGCAGACTCCGAAAATATTATTTTTATGTGGAGATGCAGTGGCCAGCCGTCCTGGCTTAGTGGTTTGCACGAGATGCTCTTAGAACATTTCTGCTTGAGACTGTCTCGTTAAAACACGCCGTCTTTTAGTTCTAAGAGCAGTGCTTTTCCTCTAACCCTCCTGTGTTGGTTTCTCGTTTGAAGTTTTGAATCGAGCACTGCTCCTTCTCCTCCTCCTCCTCCTTCTTCTTCTTCTTCTTCTTCTTCCTCATCTCCCGCCTCCTTCCTCCTCCTGCCTCCTCCTGCGCTGCCCTGGGTGGCTGAACTGCGTAACTGTTGCCACTTTCGTGGGCGCCTGGGAGGTCCAGCGGAGTCGGGGGCCACGCGGACCCAGCCGAGACCTCGCTTCTCCCTGGGTGGTTGCGAACTGTGCAGTCGTCGCCGCCTCCGCAGGCTTCTGGGAGGTCCAGCGGAGTCGGGGGCCATGCGCGAGAACTCGCTGTTTCCGCGGTTGGTGCAAACTGCGCAACCGTCGCCACTTTCGTGGGCTCGTGGGGTATCCGGCGGAGTCGGGGGCCACGCGGACCCAGCCGAGACTTCGCTGCTCCCTTGGGTGGTTGCGAACTGCGCAACCGTCGCCATGTGCGTGGGCTCCTGAGAGGTGCAGCCGAGTCGGGGGCACACGCACCCAGACGGTGACCTTGCTGCTTCCTGTGTGGCTGCGAACTGCGCAACCGTCGCCTCTTTCGTGGGCTCCTGGGAGGTCCGGCGGAGTCGGGGGCACGCGCACCCAGACGGAACCCTGCTGCTCTCTTGGAGTCTGCAAACTGCGCAATGGTGACAATTTTGTCGTGGGCTCTTGGGAGGCACAGCGGGGATGAAGGCATCGAAGATCGTGCATATTTGGCGATGTGCTCTTTGGTATGGAGCGTTCATGCGAATATTCGCTTGGCGTGGAAAAGGAGTTGGGTACTTCTGGGGCATTTGTTAATCGAACGCTCTTTTTTTTGCAAAGAGCACTCCGTGGTAGGAATTCCAGGAAGGTTGGTCCCTGCTCTGTGGAGAGGGGTGGGGGGCGTGGCGAGGCCAGAGAGGAAATTTGGACTGCGCACGCCTTTTCGGCCGAGCGCATTGTGAAATGGCGGCGGACGGAGCGGGGCGGGCGAAATGCCATGCAACTAAACCTTTCTGAGTCTCAAGCCGGTTCGCCAGCGTGGACCCCAAGCAGCAATGAAGTTATTGCACTTTTGATGTGTTGCTATGTAGTGTAAGTGATGCAATGGAGGGGAATTAGGGAGGGGGTCAGCTAAATCTCTCACACTCGAGGTTGAGACTTACTCGCAGGCATTTTCGGCCCAGCGCTGCTCGGAAAGGAGGGGAAATGCCATGCCGCAAAATGTGAATTGAGTCTGAAGTCAAACGCCCTTCTGCCCCCCAGAGGCAGCAACATATCAAGACAGTCCAGTCTGCAAGGAACTCCTGTGGCTCTTGTGCTTGCGACGCGAGGGTGTACCCGTGGCCCCGTCAGCTGGCACTTTGCCCCGGATGTCCTAGCGGCTGCTGCCCGCAGCTTGCCTGGCCGGCTGTCACTCCGTCGGCAAGCCTCTCCCGTGCATTCGGCACTTCCCCGCCACACGGGCTCCTGGGGCCGGAAGCCGCCTGCGCTCACCCGCTGCGTCGGCGCTCGACAGCCGGGCCTCTCTCCTCCTGCCTCCGCGACCGCCCTCTGCTTTTCCGCCCGTGCTCAGCGCCCCGCGCCCGGTGCGCTCCACCGGCTTGACCCCCGCGCCTGCGTCCGCTGGCGCTGCCGATGACCCTTGTTGTTCGCGATGCGGGGGAGGAGGTACAGTTAACCCGCACAGGAAGGATGGGCAACATTCCCAAGGGCACCCTTGCGTCCTTGTCTCCTCGGTCCATCCTTGGCCAGTTGCGTTCGCCGCGCCGCGCTCGGAAAGCTTCGAAATGGGCGTCCAAGTCCCTTGCATCCTTACCGCGCATCCTTATGACACGGGCCGGCTGTAGGGGGACGGGTCAAGATACCCTCCCCGCCCGCAAGCCAGCAGCGTGTTCAGCGGTAGTCTGTGGGTGGACAGCCACTTGAAACCAAAACAGACCCTATGTGCGCAACGCGGGGGCGAGGTACGCCATGCGTGCCAGGCGTGTCCCGCGCGCCGGGTACGCTAGATACCCCTGTGGCCCCGATGTGCCGGGACGCCTGTTGCGCCAGCTGCGCCTCGTGATCCACGTGCGCCATGTGTGCCGCATGCTCCAGCCGCGCCACGTGCGCTACGTTCGGGGCACGCGCAGAGCGTGCCAGGTGCGCCTGCGCACGTGGCAGTACACATCCGAAAACGTGTCGGCCCCCACAACCTTTGTCGAAAACCTGTGCGCAATCGCGGCGGGGTGGCCATCATAGCGTCTGGGTATGGCCTGCACATAGCAGGCAATATGCCAGCACCCCCGCCGTCCCAATCACAAACCAATGCGCAGTAATCGCCGAGTGCCCGCGCATGATCCAGAATCTGCTTCGATGTGCATTTTGTATGTTTTTTACAGGGATGCTGGCCCTGCGCGTGGCAGGCAATATACGGCCACCCCCGCCGTCCCTGTCACATCAAAAAAAGCAAAATGCTCGCGCCCCCCCCGCCGATCGGGACCCAACTTGTTGCCCCAAAGTGGATTTCACATTATTGTAAGATGGTGGTGGTGTTGGTGGTTGGGGGGGTCTCATTGGTCCTGGTTGGCAGCCGGTCGCCTGGGGGAGGGGGTGTCTATTCATTGTCATAGGAAACAGTGATATACCCCTCCCCGTAGGGGAAGACGGGGGATGGAAGAGGAACTCCCTAAACCACTGACGCCCTAAAGGGCTGGTTGCATTGCGCCTCGATGAAATGCGATTCCGACTGCCCGCGGTCAGGGAAGGATAACCCGTGCTACCTTCGACTGCAGCTTCTTGCCGACTGCAGAAGTTGACCGGGAGCTTCCAGTCCCGCTGGAGCCTGCCTGCTCCGGACGCGCTGGGCTAAGAAAGAAACTGCAGTCGGACTCGGAGCACAGCAGCATGCTTCAAGAACATGAGGACCTCCGCCGGCCAAGCTGAAGAACACTCGAGGGCACCCTCCCCCATGATGCACGAGAACATCCAACAAGCCCCGAGTCGACCTCGATCTTCTACCTCGGTCCAGCCGCATAGCAGAAGGCGGGCCGAGAGGAGGAGAAGAGGAGGCGAGGGGAAGGGCGAGGGAGAAAGGCGACGGGAGGGAGCCGAAGGGAGGCGCCGGAGGGAGGCAAGGGAGGCGAGGCGAGGGAGGCCGAGAGGAGGCGCGAGGAGGCGCGAGGAGGCGCGAGGGGCGCTGGGCCCAAGGCCGCCCTGGCTGCAGGCCCTGCCCCGCCCCGCTCGCGGCACGCGCCGCTGCCCCGCGGCTCGCAGCCGCTTCCCCGCGCGGCTGCGCGCGGCAAGCATACGGGACTGGGATATGACGCCCGGCCCGCCGGCGAGCCGCGGCGGAGGCCTCCAGGCCTCGCGGGGGAGGGCCCCCAGAGATCCTACGTATTTAAAACAATCAAGACGGATGTTTTCCTAAATTTTCAGAGTCTAGGGGTCCTCGTTGGGCCCCGGGACCATCAGAAAACGACTCAGGATGAAAAACCGGTCCGAGGGAATTTGTCGAGACTTCGGGGGACCGCGCATTGAAAAAAATCACGACATCGGATCTCTGGGCCTGGCTCCCTCAACAACCGCCTCCTGGACAGCACGCTGAGCACTGCCGAGGGGTCGGGCACGAGGGCGGGGTCGGACGAAGAGAGGGGGGGGGCGTCGGGCGTTGCGTGGTGGGGGAGCGATGCGCGGAGCGTTCCGGAGAGGGCCTCGCCTTCGAGGATCGTCGAAGGAGCTGGCGGCCCTCGCCGGGCCCCGGGCGCGTCAACAAAAGGATCCAGGATGAAGAGCTGCCCCCCCGGAAAGGGTCGGGTTTTCTGGGCCTCGTATTCCGCAAGTCAGGACATCTCGTGTCTGTGAACCCCGACCCCCCTGCGGCCACGCGCCACATGGGGGGCAGGGGAACGGGGAGGAGGGCTTCCCATAGAAGCACCCCTGTTTCTAAGAAGGCGCGGGCCTGGTCTGACGATGTAGTTAATTCTAGGGCTGGCGCCTTCTAAAAGAGACAGCCTGCTGCTAGGAAGCCCCCTCCCTTCCCTGACAGGTACCCTCTGGTGCGCGCCGCCGACAGGCCCCCACCGCGTCTTTCCAAAAAGCCGCAGCGGGTGCTCTGTGTTGCTGCGTCTGGTCTCTGAGGGCCCTGGGGCCGTCGAGGCACTTCGAGGGCTCCTTGGAACCTTTCGGGGCCTCCTGGGGGCAATTTTTTGGAGCCTCTTGGGCGCACCTCGGGAGCTTGTTGGGGGGAGGTTTGTGGGAGGAGGAGGAGGAGGAGGAGGAGGAGGAGGAGGAGGAGGAGGAGGAGGAGGAGGAGAGAAGGGGGAGGAGGAGGAGGAGGAGGAGGAGGAGGAGGAGGAGGAGGAGGAGGAGGACCATCTTGGGGGCGTCTTGGGGGCCTTAGTGGGCTCCTTTTGGGTGCCCTTGGGGCCGTTTTTGGGCGACCTTGGGCACCTGTTGGGCCGTTTCGGACGGTCGGAAGACCGAAGAGGCGGTGGCGCGAAAAGCATGCAACAACCACGCTCCGAGGCCCCAAGCATCGCGCGGTAAAAGTCCGTGCGGCGCGGGCCGTCATGGCTTCCGGGGTCACCGCGCGGCCTGTCATCGCGACCGTCTTAGACCTCCTAGGAGGCAGTTGTTCTCTGGATTCTGGCATGTTGGCGTTGTCACTTGCACGGAAGGGGTGGGGGGTGGCAAGGCTCGAGAAGGTATACCTGGCCTCCGTGCAGGCCGGGATTGGCTTGCGTGCCTGCTCGGCCCAGCGCTGCTTGAGAGGGCGGCGGAAGGGTGGGAGGGTGGTGGGGGAAATACCGTGCAAGTAAACTTGCCGCTTGCCTGGGCCTGCAGTCAACACTGATAGTGAGGATGAGCGACTTTCCAAGGCGTCCGTTGCACCCTTTCCCTTCGGCCCATCGCTGGCCACTTTCGCTGGCCGCGCCCCGCTCGAAATGTGTCGGCATGGCATTCCAAGGCCTTGGCATTGCTCGGACGTGTGCGTTTTTTTTGACGAGGACCATCGAGGATCATCTGGACCCCTCTGTTGAAACATGAACGCACGACATCGGATAAGGCACGGGCAGTGGACGTCCGAGCAACGGTGTCCCCATCGTGCATCCTTACTATTTGTTTTGACCGTAGTGGAGCACAGCCTCTGTCAGGCCGCCCTGCCCCTCTCTGGCCAGCTCGCGCCCCTCGAGATCGAGTCAGGGCCGCCCCTGGCGGGGCCCAGCGCCGGCGGCGGCTGCGCTGCGGCGCCCGCCGTTACGCTGCTGGCGGCCCTGCTCGGGCTGTGCGCCGGGTCCGAGGAGATCTGGGGCAGCGTTGGTGAGTATCGCCCCCAGAGATCCGAGGATCTGAGTTGTTCAATGCGGAGGTTTTGCTTGGAGTTCGGCACCTGGGGCCCATCTTCGGGCCTGGGAAGGGGTCGGGACCTCTGGGGCCGCAGATCGAAGAAAGCAGATCGGCGGATGTCTTGGGTTCCGTCCCCATCCCAGTCCTTCTCCTAAGCCCATCATCTCAGTACCGCAGCTGGGGATCTACCCCTCGACCCCCCCGGGAAACAGCCCATACGCCATCCAGGGATCTAGGGGGGGTAACTCTGCCATTGGGGCCCAGGCCACGCCCATGGGGGCAGGGGCCGGTTAAACAATGCTCAGTTGGCTTGGATGTCTTTTCATGGGGTGATATTGGCATCAGCTTCTCCTGCATTTGCAGGGGAAGCGAGTGGGCTGGAGTTCGCCGGAGCTTGGGTTTGCCGACGCTTTTTGGCGAGCCAGTCCTGGGTCTTGACAGTGCAGGTCTCGTGGGGTGTTTGCAGCGGGAGATCGCGTCAGATTTCAGACTGGGTATCGTGCTCTTCCTGACTGCACCGTCAGGCCAGCCCGAGTCCCCCGAAACCGAGCCTTTCGCCCCCCCCCCCCCCCCCTGCATTTGCACCGCATTCGGGCCTTCCTCCTGCTCTTCATCGCCCTTCCTGTTCCTCCTCTCCCTCTTCCTTCTCCTTGCCTCCCTTGTGAAGGGGCGAGCCCTGGCCCACATCCGGTTCTAATCCGGTCCCAAATCTGGTCCAGATTGGGTCCAGATCCGGTCCAGCGCCAGGCGGCTGCGTAGGCAGCGCTCGTGGGGGATAGGCTCAGCGGGCGACGATCTCAGACATGCTACGTCCTGATTTCTTCAATGCGCGGTCCCCGAAAGTCCCGACCTTACCCCTGGACCAGCTTTTCATCCTGAATTGTGTTTTGACGGTCCTGGGGCCCGACGAGGGCATGCAGATGCCGAAAACTGCCAAAAGCCTCATGCCTTGATTTTTTCAAGACGCGAGTATGTCTACCTGGGAATATCCCGCGGCGACATCTTGGTCATGGTAATCGTGTTTATTCCTTTTCTGCTTCTTCTTCACCTCCGTGGCGGTGCCCCTGACTGGTCTCGGTCTTCGGGTAATATCCCGAGTCTCCAGCGGCCGTTCGGGATGATCCAGGCACCCCTGGACGACTCCCGGCGAGGTGCAGATGCTGAAGGGCATCTCGAGGCTCAACCAAAACGCCCCGAACTGGCGAGAGCGTCTGAACACCTCGGAGCATGAAGCCTCCCCAGACCCCTCGCGCTGCAAACAAAAACACGACGAATTGTTTGTTTCGCTATCTTCGGCCTCCCAGGGCCTGGGCCCTGGGACCGTCAAATTAGCCTGGCGAAGGACCCAGCCATATGCAACTGCTCGTATCGCATGATATGGCCCCTTTCATCATGAGTAGTGGGTGTGCCGGAATGAGCGGGGGGACGCATGCGGACGCCCACTGGGGCCTTCGTCTAGAGCTCCCTATAGGGCCACGATCCTCTTGAGGGGTGTGCCAGAATCACCCGAGGCCGCCATCCTGTGAATCTCCCTGTGGGGCCACGATCCTCGTGAGCGGTGCGCCGAAGTGGCCCGAGGCCGCCAAGTGAACGCTGCCACTGGGGCCTTCGGTGGAGCTCCCTATGAGGCCACGATCCTCTTGAGAAGTTCGCCGAAAGCGCCCGAGGCCGCCATGTGAACCCTGCCACTGGAGCCTTCGGTAGCGCTCCCTGTGAGGCCACGATCCTCGTGAGCGGTGTTCCGAAATCGCCCAAGGCCGCCATGCGAACCCTACCACTGGGGCCTTCGGTTTAGCTCCCTGGGCCACGACCCTCGTGAGGGGAACCGCGTATTGAAAAAAACAGGGCGTCGCAAGTCTGGGGACCAGTCAGGCGCACCGCTACGGGGCAGAAGAACCAGAAACACGATGACCATGACCAAGATGTCGCCGCGGGATATCGTCGACGCCGATCTTGGTCATGGTCCATGCCGGCCGTCGCTGACGCGCGAGGACGATCCACGTATTGACGCTGACCAGAGTGGACGGTGCCCAAAGCTCGGCACCGACGCTTCCGCTTCCAGAGAGTGGACGGTGCCCAAGCTCGGCACCGACGCTTCCGCCTCCAGAGGAGACGGGCAGGCGTTGCATGGCCAGCATCTTCCTCGAGGAGGCCCGGGTGTTTAACGAGGATCCCAGAGGGCGCCAAACTGGGCACCTGCGCCGATTGTTGGCAGGGCCATTTCTGGGCCCAGGCTCGGCATATATGTATATGTATATATATATATGTGTATTGTTACATTTGTGCATACACATGTTTCTGTACATGTATACCTGTGCATATACATCCATCCATCCATCCATCCATCCATCCATCCATCCATCCATCCATCCATACACACGTACACCCATGCATGCATGCACACATACAATCATACACACCTACATACACACTTCCATACATACATGCACTCGCACACACATACAAACATAAACACATCCATCCATCCATACATACATACTTACATGCGTGCATGCATACAAACACACATACCTACACATACACATACATACATGTATACACATACCCATACATATACACACATGCATACATCCATACACGCATACATACAAACAAACATACACATACACACATACGCATACACATACACATACACATACACATACATACATACATACGTACATGCGTGCATACGTACATACGTACAACCACTCATAGCTATACAGACATTAATGCGTACACAGGCATACATACACACACATACATACATACATACATACATTCCTACATACATACATACATACATACCTACATACATGCATGCATACATATCTACATACATACATATATACACATACATACATACATAAATACATACATACATACATACATACATACATATCTACATATCTACATACCTGCATCCAAACATACATATGTACATACATACATGCATGCATGCATGCATGCTTACATACATATATACGTGCATACATACATGCATACACATACATACATCCATACATACATGCATGCATCCATACATACATACCTACCTACCTACCTACATACATACATACACACATACATACATACATACATACATACATACATACATACATATTTGCATACACGCAGACACACATACACAAATTCATACACACACATACATACAGACATACATACATGCATGCATGCATGCATGCCTGTATACATAAATACAAACAAACATACACACAAACATATACATATGTGAAGGAGCTCTCTCGTGGCACACTTCTCACTAAATGGGGGACCCCAGCTTGAAGCTACCCCCCCTCCCTTGGAAAAGGGGGGGGAGCTTCCGAAGCTACCCCCCCTCCCTTCCTTCTGTATGCATTTCGGAGCTAGGGAAGCCCTGGCTAAAGGGGGCGGGTTTCCAAGCTTCCCTCACCTTCTTTCCGGAGCCCAAGGTCAACCCCGGCTTCCCTTTCATTGGGGCGGGGGGCTTCCGAAGCTACCCACCCACCCCTCCGCCTGTTTGGATTTTGTAGCTGGGGGTCCCTGGCTAAATGGGAAGGGGGCTTGGAAGCTACCCCTCCCCTCCCCTCCTCGTCGGGGCCCTGGGTAAGCCTGGGCTCTCCTTTCTAAAGGGGTGGGGGCTTCCGAAGCTACCCCCCTTCCCTCTTTCTGTTGGCCTTTCCAGCTGGAGGGCCCTGGCTGAAGGGGAGGCGTCGAAGCTGCCTTGTTTTTTTGGTTTTCGGCGCCCCGTTGGTTATCGGTATACTTGTGGTTTTCGACGTCTCTTTGGTTTTCGGCGCCTCTTTGGTTTTCATCACCCTTTTGGCCTTGGCGCCCCTTTGGTTTTCGGCGCTCCTTCAATTATCGGCGCTCCTTTGGTTTTCGGCGCCCCTTGTTGTTTTTTGGCGCTCCTTAGGTTTCCAGCGCCCCTTTTGGTTTTTTGCGCACCCTTTGGTTTTCGGCGCATCGTTGGTTTTCGACGCCCGTTTTGGTTTTCGGCGCATCGTTGGTTTTCGGCGCCCCTTTGGTTTTGCGGCACCCTTCAGCTTCTGGCGCTCTTCTGGTTTTCGGCGCTCTTTGGTTTTTGGTGTCCTTGTTGTGTCCGGCGCATCTTTGGATTTTCGGCACCCTCTTGGTTTTCGGCGCATCGTTTGTTTCCGGCGCCCCTTTGTGTTCGGCGCTCCTTTGGTTATCGGTGCCCCTTTGGTTTTCGGCGTCCCAGCGATTTTCTGCGCCTCTCTGGTTTTCGGCGTTTTTTTTGTTTTTGTTTTCGGCGGTCTTTGGTTTTCGTATTTGTCGTTTCCGGCGCATCTTTGGATTTTCGGCACCCTCTTGGTTTTCGGCACATCGTTTGTTTCCGGCGCCCCTTTGTATTCGGCGCCCCTTTGGTTATCGGTGCCCCTTTGGTTGTCGGGTTCCCTGCGGTTTTCTGCGCCTCTCTGGTTTTCTGTATTTTTTTGTGTTTTCGGCGCCCTGTCTGTCTTCGGAGCATCTGTGGTTTTCGGCGCCCTCTTTCGTTCTCGGCCCTTTCGGTTATCGACGCCCCTTTGGTTTTTCAGGGCCCTTTCGGTTTCGGCGCATCGTTGGTTTTCGTCGCCTTCTTGGGTTCCGGCGCCCCTTTGGGTTCTGGCGCTCTCTTGGTTTTCGCCGCCCTTTTGCTTTTCGGCGCCCCTTGAGTTTTCGGTGTTCTTTTCGTTTTCGGCGCTCTTTCGTTTTCGGTGCCCTTTCGGTTTCCTGCGCTTGTTTGGTTTTCGGCGCCCCTTTTTGTGTTTGGCGCTTATTTGGTTTTCGTCCTCCTTTTGGTTTTCTTCTCCCCCTTTGTGTTCGGCGCCCCTTTGGTTTTCGGCGCCCTTTTGGTTTTCGGCGCCCTTTTGGGTTTCGGCGCTCTTTGGTTTTCGGCGCCCTTTTGGTTTTCGCCGCTGCTTTGGTTTTCGGCGCCCTTTTGGTTTTCGGCGCTCCTTTGGTATTTGGATCCCGTTCGGTTTTCGGCGCCCCTTGCGTTTCCAGCGGCGTTTTGGTATTCGGTGTCCTTTTTGGTTTACGGCGCCCCTTTGGTATTCGTCACCGTTTTGGTGTTCTGTGCCCTTTGGTGATTGGCGACTCTTTGGTTGTCGGCGCCCTACTGGTTTCTGCCGCCCCTTTGGTTTTCGGCGTTCTTTTCAAGTTCGGCGACCCTCTTGTTTTCGGCGCCGTTTTGGGTTTCGGCGCTCTTTGGTTTTCGGCGCCCTTTTGGTTTTCGCCGCTGCTTTGGTTTTCGGCGCCGTTTTGGGTTTCGGCGCATTTTGAGGTTTCCACGCAACGCTGGTTTTCGGAGCCTCTTTTTGGTTGTCGGCGCCCTGCTGGTTTCTAGCGTTCATTTGGTTTTCGGCGTCCTTTTTGGTTTTCGTTCCCCCTTTGCTTTCCAGCGCTCTTCTGGTTTTCGGCGCGGCTTTGGTTTTCTGTTGCTTTTTGGTTGTCGTCGATCTTCTGGTTTTCAGCACCCCTTTGGTTTTCGGCGCTCCTTTGGTTGTTGGCGCTCCGTTGGGTTTCGGCGCCCCTTCTGTTGGTTTTCGGCGCATCTTCGGTTTTGGGCGCCCTTTCGGTTTTCGGCGTTCCTTGGGTTTTCGGCGCGCCTCTGGCTTTCGCCCCTTTTCGGATTTCGGTGGCCCTTTGGTTGTCGGCGCTCTGTTCGTTTTCAATGCCCTTTTTGTCTCCAGCGCTCCTTCCTTTCGCCCAAGGGGGGAGGGCTTCCAAGCCCTCCCCCCCCTTAGCCAAAATGGTGGGGAGTGTGGGGGGGGGGTCCGGCAGAGGAGGTTCAAAGGGGGAGGGCAGGTAAGCCCCCTTTCCTTTGGAAAGGGGGGGAGGGGGAGAGCTTCCGAGGGGCGGGAAAAAAGAAGGGAGGGGGGGCTTCCAGTAAGAGAAGTCGAAGGGGGGGAGGCTGAGGGGGACCCCCCCTTGGGAGTGTACCATGGGCGCTTTTTTTTTTTCTCTCTCTCTCTCTCTTTCTCTCTCAGCCTCTCTTGTTTCCTCTCTCTCTCTCTACCTCTCTTTCTATCTCGCTCCCACTCTTTCATATTATGTTTACCCGGTCCAGTTCGGGGGGCCTTACGGGCAGACTCTGGATCTCCTTGCCGGTGGCACGGCACCTGGGCCCTTCTAAGAAGCGCCAGGAGGGGCCAACAAATCACCGCGATGGCCCAAGGAAGATCCGAATCAATGAAGAACCGCTCCGCGACGCCCAAGATGGCCCCAAGCCGTGCCAAGAGACCGCCCAAGACGCACCGAGAGGCCTCCAAGAGCACTCCCAAGAGGCGCCCAGCTTGCCAAGCTTGCCCTATTCCCTCAGCAGAACGTAGATGTTTGGCATGTACGACTTTTCTGCCTTCACGACCTTGAGGACGGCCCATGCAGTTCCCAAGACCGCGCCAAGACAGACCAAGAAGCCCCCCTGGAGAGCGCCTCAAGACAGCCCAGGAGAGCCCCAAGACGGCCCAGGAGTTGCCCAAGAGAGGCCAAGAGAGCCCAAAGACGGTCCCCAAAGTGGCCCAAGAGCGGCAGCCAGAACCAACAAGTCGAGTTTTCCGCCCCATGATGCTCCGAGGAGCCCCCCAAAGGCCCCAAGAGGCCGCCAAGAGCCCCCCAAGACGCCCCAAGAGCCTTCAAAACAGCGCAAGAGGCTTCGAAATTGCCTCCAAAGCGCACTGTATCCCAACGAACCCCAAAAGACTTATGACCCACAACCCATGCACGCAGGCGACTGTGTCGAGGATTCTCGGAAAGACACGAGGAAGAGAAGATGAGGGATTGGAGGATGCGGCGCAATCAGGAGTATAAGGAAGGAGCGTCAGGAGGAGGGGAACCTCCAGAGGAGGCGACGAATGGGAGCTGCGCCCCCCCCCCCGCGGTCGGTATGTGTGTGTGTGTGTGTGACTATCTCCGTTCCTCTTTCCATCCTGGCTCCTACCTCCTTCACCTCATATCCTCTTTCTGCCTATCTATCATGCCCCCTGGTCCTCCATCCTCCCGTCTCCTCCGTCCTGCCTTCTGGTTGCGTCGTTCCTCCGCTTTGCTTCTACTCATGTTCGTTCCTTCTTAATCTGCACCCTCTCGCCTGCCGGGACGAGGGTTGTGGGAGCAACGAGCAACACCAGGCAGGGGAAGGCAAGAAGAAGCAGGACTGGAGACAATAGCCACATCACGATGGGTAGGGTAAGCAAGGTACTTGAAGAGTGAGGAATCAAACCTGATCCACCACTCAGTTCTCAACGCCTGGAGCTGCCCAGGTACCCAGTACGCGCGAATGTGCCTAGTATGTATACACATATGTGCCTGTATGTATGCATGTCTACAGCTGCGTATGCATCCATGTACGTCTGTATGCATGCATGTATGCATGCATGTATGTATGTATGTGGTAATGCATGCATGCATGCATGCATGCATGTATGCATGTATGTATGTATGTATGTATGTATGTATGCATGCATGCATGCATGCATGCATGCATGCATGCATGTATGTATGTATGTATGTGCGTGTGCATAAACGGTTGTGTGTATGTATGTGTACGTATGCGTGTATGTATGCATGTAGGTATATGTGTATGTATGTATGTGTGTACTTACATGTTTTCGTATGTATGCATGTCGGTAGGTAGGTATGAATGTGTGTACGTATGCATGTATGTATGTATGTATGTAGGTCGGTGTGTATGTATGTATGTGTGGTTGTATGTATGTATGCATGGGTGTATATATACATGTATGTATGCATATACGCACCTACTTGATGGAAGGATGTATGTACTCATGCATATATATATATGTGTATGTGTATTTATATGTTTGTGTGCATGTATGTATGTATGTATGCATGCATGCATGCATGCATGCATGCATGTGTGTATGTGTGTATGCATGCATGTAGAAATGTATGTATGCATGCATGCATGTATGCATGCATGTATGGATGCATGTATGTATGTGTGTATATGTATGTATGTGTGTATGCATGTATGCATGCATGTATGCATGTATGCGTAAATGTATGTGTGTATGCCCTGGTGCCCTGGCCAGGAGAAAATTGGACTGACCTGTGGCCCAGGATGGGCCTCGGCAGGACCGGCGTGGGGTGCAGGTGTGTGGTTGGCGCCCTCCCGGCCAGAGGAGGGCGCCGAATTTCCCGACGGCTGCGCCGACACGTGGACGTGCGTGTGGGACCCTGCGAAGTGCGACGCCACGGGCTTGTGCGAGGAGGCCTACACCCACGTCTACTACCTGTGGAGGCCGGCGGCGCTCTGGGGCCCGGCGGTGGCCCTTCCGTACGCCGCCTTTGCCGCGTGGTGCCTGTGGCGGCGCCGCAGCTTTCAGGCTGGGCTTGAGTCGGGCATGTCCTTCTACAGGAGGAATCTTCAACAATAGTCCCCCCAAAAAGTAGAGGGACGATTTTTTTTTACTATTTTTGACCATGTTTGAATATTATTTAACTCTGACATTCTCTTCTTCCAGGATCCGCCTGTAGGAGGACATGCCCGACCTAAGGTTGGGCTGCCGCTGCACCGGTGGACCAGGCGCTTCGGGGCCGGCGCGGGCACCGCAGCGGTCCTCTTCGCTCTGCTCCCATGGTGCCTGATGTGCCACGAGGCCAAGCCCGTGAATCTGCTCCTCGACGGATCCATCCTGGTTGTCCTGGGCGCGCTCAAGCTCGTCTCCCAGGTCCTCGTCGCGCACAAGCTCGAGGAAGGCTACTGCTGGCGGCTGGCTCGGGCCGTCCGCGTGCTCTCGATCGTGGCCCTGGCCAGCATGAGTGTGCGACTGGTTATTTTCGATGCACCGATGCAGCTGAACGGGGGTGTCGACATGACGGACGGAGGTGCTCTACTCGTGTTCCCTGAGGAGTGCATGACGTTCGTCATTGCCCTTGCGGGCGTCTGTTACCTGATGGCCTGCGTCTGTGGCCTCTGTGGCTTGATAGGCACCGCGGCGCGCGTGGCTTTCAGCCCCGTTGGCGCCCAGAGGCGCGTGGCCCGGTTCGTCTTGCTGACCGCCGCGAGTCTGGCGCTCTCGTTCGCGAGCACGGTCCGTCTCCTGGTCTATTCTGGCATCCACGAAGTGGAGTATTCGTTCGCGCAGTGGGCCTCGGCCGCCGACGCACTGTTCGAGTGCCTCACGGTGGCGCTCTTTTCTGGGCTGGCTGGGCCGACGTCCCTGCAGGTCCTGGCGCGGGACGCCTTTTCGGCCATCAATTCCTACAGCGACGACCAGCTCCAGGCGCCAACTGCACGAGTGACCCTTCGCTGGAGCGACCTCTGGTACGCGGCTGTCGAGGGGCGTTGCGGGGCCAAGCCCAAGCATGCAGGCCGCTGCTGTTGCACCGCACGCTGCGGCTGCGGGCAGCAAGCCGGCGCACCACAGGCTACTCTTGCCTAGGGCCTAGGGGCACTCTTGCTCAGAGGGTGAGCACCTACACTTCTTCCGCCTCCAGGCAAAACCATGTCATACCACGTGCCTCCCCGTCAAGCAGCCTGACCGTTGCGGGCCACGCCACGGGTAGCTTGGTATCGCTTGGCTCCCGTTTGGAAGCGAGGGTCGCCAAAGCGTGGTAGCCGACAGGCTACCTCGCTTGCTACCTCGCTTGCATCTTGCCTATGTGTAGCCGACAGGCGTTTTATGAGAAGTACCTCGAGTACTTGGACGAGGCTCGTGTCAAGTGGGTGCGGTGCGGCTACCTGCGGGCCCTGGCCGCGGCCGGCAGCGCCATGCCGCGGTGCCAGGAGGTGCCGGCCGACCACGCCGTCGTCGGCAGCAGCGGCTTTTCACTCGTCCGAGACGGGCAGAAGCACAGGTTCGTGCTCTCGCACCCGTGGCTGTCGAGAGAGCATCCCGACCCCACGGGGGTGAAGGTGAGGCTGCTCGTTGACCAGCTCGATCGGCTTGGGGCGGACGACGCCGACGCGGTGTTCATCGACTACATGAGCCTGCCCCAGAACGATAAGCAGAACACGGAGCTGCAGAGGCTCGAAGTGGAGCAGGGGATGCCCAAGCCTGGCATGCACCCTGCCGTCCGCACGGAGGCGGAGGAGGCGCAGTTCAAGCAGGCTCTCTCGGCCATGGAGCTGATCTACAGCATTGGGAAGACGCCAGTCATTGTGTTGCCCATGGACGGCGCTGTCGAGAGGGGCAGGGAGTACATCTCCAGGGGCTGGTGTTTTCTCGAGTTCTGCCTTGCCATGAGCTTCGACAATATCGCGAATGCCGAGATCCACGAGCCTGCAAGGCGTCTTGTTGACGATGTCAAAAGGCTGGACGGCCACACAGTCGATGGCTTCCGCGAGGCTTTCAAGAGCAAGCATTTCACCAACAATGGCGATGCTGACGTCGTCCTCGGTCTCTTCGAGAACACGCTGAATCTGGCATCTGTCTAGCACCAGGGTAATTGTGCGAACGCTCGGGACAATGCCGCAGGAACTGTATCAACCGGATGGCGAAATTCAAACTGCAGCCAGGGGAGCCGTTCAGGCAGACTGCATCGAGACAATCTCACAAGACGAGGACAGGTAAAGTAGAGCAGTGATCGAAATAACGCTTTGATTTTACCATGTTCTGGTGGCACATACTCAGAATCATCCTCCTCCTCATCACCATCATCATCGTTAGCATCATCGTCACCATCATCGTCATCATCGCCATCATCGTTACCACCATCATCATCATCATCATCATCATCATCATCATCATCATCGTCCTCCTCACCAGCATCCTCATCACCATCATCATCATCATCACCAACATCATCATCATCATCATCATCATCATCATCATCGCAAGCATCGTTTCCGTCAGGATTCTCATCATCGTCACCACCTCCTTCATTTCCATCATCTTCAGCATCACCACCACCATGAATCATCAGCACTATCACCATCATACTATTCGCGATTATCATGCTGGTCGTCATTGTCGTCAGCACAACCATCGTCAGCATCAGCCTCTTCCTGCTCATTTTCATTATCACCACCATCATCATCGTCATCAGCATCATCATCACCTCAATCAACATTAGCATGATCACCAGCATCATAATCATCATCACCATCATCATTATCATGACCATCATTATTACTACCATCATCATCAACCTCATCCTCATCGGCAGCATCATGATCAACATCGTCACCACCATCATTACCATCGTCAGCATTATCACCACCATCACCGTCACCATCACCACCACCACCACCATCATCATCATCATCATCATCATCATCATCATCATCGTCACCATCACAATCACCATCATCATCATCATCATCATCAGCATCATCAGCATCATCATCACGATCATCAACATCATCATCATCATCATCATCGTCATTGTCATTGTCATCGTCATCGTCATCGTCAGCGTCATCCGCATCCTACCTCCCAGAACTTCCGTCGGCTTGGCTCGTTTAGGGGGCCTCTGGGGGGCTTTTCGAGCCATCTCGGGGGGAAAGGCTCCACATGTGAATGTGTGTCCCCCCTCCTGGGCCCCCCCCTAGGGCCCTGTTTGCGCTCTTTCGAGGCTCCTTGGGGAGGGACATGGGGCCGTCTTCGGGCCATCTTGGGGCCCTCTTGGGGGCCTCATGGGCCGCCTTGGGACAAGATCTTGGGAGCCCCTCGGGCAGTCGCGGACGCTGTCAAGACGAAAAAGGCACGTGTACGAATTCCCCGCTACGTGCCCAGACCCCCTCTCCACGCGAGGCATACTTTTGCGTGAACGCTCCACACGAAAGAGCAACATCGCCAGATATGCACGACCTGCGCTGTCCTCATCTCCACCGTGCCTTCCATGAGCCCACGATAGTGGCGACAGTTGCACCCTCCGAGGGAGCCGCAGGGTCTCAAATGGGTCCGCGTGGCCCCCGACTCCGCTGTGCCTCCCAGGAGACCGCGAAAGTGGTGACAGTTGCACAGTTCTCGGCCCCCGAGGGAGTCGCGAGGTCTCAAGTGGATCTTTGCTGCCCTCGCATCCGCCGTGCCTCCCAGGCGCTCACGAAAGCGGCGACGCTTGCGCAGTTCGCAGGCTCCGGTGAAGACGCGAGCTCTCGAATGGCTCTGCGCTGCCCTCCCTTCATGCGGTGCATCCCAGGATTCCGCGAGAGCGGCGACGGTGGCCCACTTCGCAGCTCCCGGGGGAGCAGCGAGGTACCGGCTGGGTCTGCGTGGCCCCTCACAGGATCCCGCGAAAATAACAGGGTTCTGGTGCACAGCAAGATGCGGGAGGCCTCGAGGCAGACGAGCTGCGTGATGAAATCGATGGCCTGGTCAAGCATGTTCAGTACCTTGGGAGTGTCGAGGCTGACTGGGGCAAAGGACCTCTCACCGCGGCTCGCGCCCAGCGCGAGGCAACACGCCAGAAGCTACATGCAGCCCCCCAGGGAACAGCGAGGTCTCAAATGGGTCTGCGTGGCCCTCCACCCGGCTGGACCTCCCAGGACCCCACGACACCCACGACAATGGGCGTCAGTTGCGCAGATCGCAGCCACCCACGGAGCAGCGAGGTCTCAAATTGGGTGCGAGTGGCCCTCCACTCCGCTGGAGCCCTGGGAGCCCATGAAAGTGGCGACGCTTGCGCAGTTCGCAGCCACCCAGGTCGCAGCGAGGTCTCAAATGGGTCCGGCGTGGCCCCCGACTCCACTGGGCGTCCCGGGAACCCACGAGAGCGGCGACAGTTGCACAGTCCGCAGCCACCCAGAGAGCAGCGAGGGGTCCACTGGGCGCGCGGTGCCCCGCCTCCGCAGGGACCTCCCAGGAGCCCAGGAGAGCGGTGACGGTTGTGCAGTTCTCAGCCTCCCCGGGAGCAGGGCAGGAGGAGACAGGAGGGGGAGGAGGACTACAAGTGGGCGGGGAAGGGGGAGGAGGGGCAGGGGGAGTCGGAGAAGGGGCAGGAGGAGGTGGGAGAAGCTCGAGCAGCACTAAACAGCAAGAATCATAATGAGAACCCAGCACACCAGGGTTGGACAACAAGTAGATTGCCCCCAGAGGACGGAACGATGTTTGCCTCTTGACTCTTGGGGCCCCCGCGGCGGTCCTCTGGGAGCACTCGTGTGCTTTCTCGGGGGGCCGCCTTCAAGCCAACTTGGACCGTCGAGGGGCTAGCCTCGGCCCTCGGCTCTCTGCTTGGGCTCTCTCGGGCCGTCTTGAGGGCCTCGTCGAAGGCTCCGGGCGCCCGGGGCGAAGCGTTGGCGAGCTCATGGGCCGGCACTGTGGACCCTACACTGGGGGCTGTTACGTCGACGCCGGCGATGCAGGCTTCCGGCTCGAGCGTTGGAGGCACTCTCAGACACAGCTCTGTCTCCAGCGGTTGTTGTTGCAGATGGGAGTCCTGCTTGCGTTCTGTTGTGATGTTACAGCCGTGGCCCCAGTAGGAAAATTGCATTGTGCTACCTCGCCAGAGGCAGCACCCACTCCCCGAGGATCGCGTCCGCCAATTCGGCACACCATTCGCGAGGATCGACACGCGGGAAAGCTCCAAGCACGGCCCCGGTGGAGGAACATCATTAAATTTTTGAACTCGGCACACCCCTCACGAGGATCGTGCTCCACACGGGGCTCCAACTACGGTCCCAATGGGGGAACTTGCGTAGCACCACGTGGCCTAATTACTCCGGGCCACCCCTCACGAAGACCGTGCTCCACAAAAAGCCCCAATTCCGGTCCCACTGGGGCAACTCTCATAGCATCACGTGGCCTGATTCGGCGTATTCCTCGCGAAGAGCGCGATCCACAGGGAGCTCCAGCTATAGCACCACCAGCAACATCCGCATAGCGTCACCTCGCCTAACGCTTCAGACCCCTCGCGAGGATCGCTCTTCCCCTGAAGCTCGAATTACAGTCCCAGGTGAGAAGTGCCAAAGCGCTGACTGGTGCGATTCTGCGCACCACTGACGAGGATTGTGCTCTACCGGATTTTCCAACCATCGTCCCAGTTGGCTATGTTGTACGGGAGAAATCGGGGCTGCAGACAACCTAAAGGTGCCCGAAAATCGCGGGGAAGACCCCAGGAGAGCCCCAAGGAGCTACAGGGCCTGACGACCCCAGGAGACATTCTCAACGGACTCAAGACCCCAAGACGGTCCCAGAGGGCCCAATACCACCGCAAAGGTTTACGGGTGTAGTTTCTTCAAACGTCTCTTCAGCTCTTTTGGGACATGCTTCGAACACGTCTTGAGATCTTCGTCAAGACTCGTGATGTACTGTTGAGTGGGCTTCCATGATGTTTTTATGATGAAGCGTCTGTTGCACATGTGCCAGAGTAGAGCGTAGGCGTGCGCGTGGTTCTAGTGTGTGTATGTATGTATTCACACATCTATGCATCCACACCTTTCTACGTCCACGCACATCTTTCTCCATCTATCAATGTCTCAATGCCCTCAGGCCCCATACACACATATTTGTATATACATACACGTAGATGTATACATGCATATATATATATATATGCATATATACATATTTCCATGCCTCCAGATGTCCTCGAGCCCTTGTTGGCGGCGGCGTTGACGACGACGGCGACGACGAAGAGCACGATGGCAGCGGCGACGTTGAAGGCGATGCCGACTACGGTACGACGAACGCGGCGACAGCGACGAGGACGATGACGACGCGACAACGACGACGGCGACCGTGGCGCGGACGACGGGGGCGGGGACGACCACAACGACGGCGACGACAGCAGCGGTGGCGGCGGCGACCACGATGGCGATGTCGACGACGACAGCGACGACGATGATCACCACTGCTGCGGCGGCGACGGGGACGACGTCGATTTCCTGTGTAGACCCTTTGTGGACCCCATGTGAATTCTGGCGACGGGAGGGAAGGACAGGGGCAAGAGAATGAGAAGGTAGCGAGGAGGAGGGGGACGAGGTAGAGGACGAGGAGAGGGGACCACGCAACGACGACGACGCCATCATCGGAAGCGGCGACGGCGACGGCGGCAACGACCATCAAGGTGACAGTGGCGCGTGCGGCGACGATGTCAACGACCACGCCGACAACGACGACGACGACGATGACGACGACGACGACGATAACGCCGGCGGCGTTGGCGTCGCCGGCAACGACGACTACGACGACGACCATGCCGAGGACAATGGCGACGACGACGACGGCGAGAGCGGCGTCGGTGGTGACGGCGACGACGAGGATTGCAGTGGACTCGGCAGCGGCGGCAAAGGCGGCCGCGACGACGTCTGTTTCGGCGGCGGCGACGACGAGGACAGCGGTGGTGATGATGACGCCGAAGACGACGACGACGGAGACGACGACGACGGCTACGATGTCAACGACGACGACAACGACGCCGACGACGACAACGACGACGAAGACGATGGCGACGAGGAAGCACCTCCAGCGCGACAACTGGGAGCCCAGAGTTGCGAGGATGTGTCTGGCGAAGCGACATTTCGGAGCCCAGAGTCGACAGGATGCCCCTGGCGCAGTTGGCCAGACCATCTCGCACGCGGCACCTCGGAGCTCAGAGTTGCGAGGAAGGCCGCAGGGAGATCAGGCTGGACCACTTCAGGTCTCCAGCCCAGAGTCGCGAGGATGCCCTAGGAGATGCGAGGATGTCTCAGGCGACCTTGGTCGGACCACGTCGCG